GTTAAGTAGGCCTAGGGCATGTTGTAGGGCCTACGAATTTTCGGGCGTCTCCCGCCCCCCGTCAGGTGCGAATGCCAGAATGTGTTGTTGTTCTTACTTAAGTAAGTTCCCACAGGGAGATATGGCTTTGAGAGAGATAAATAAGTTGTTAGGAGAATCCCTGTACAAGGTCAGGAACATCATAAAGTATATCGGGTGTCGGTCACTTCGCCCCATTTCCACTTCACCCCTTACCACTTCGCCCCATTTCCACTTCCTCCCATTCCACTTCGCCGTTTGAAGAGGATGAGAAATACATGTAACCTCAATGCTAGTCCAACCATATGCATTAATTCACCATAATGGACAACGCAGGTGACATTAATTTAATACCGTAGAGTTTTCTATAAAAAACTACATGTCATTTCATGTCGTTTGTGGAACTCCTCCACCATTTTTTGAAGAGGCTTATTACACACTCAAAACAGACGGCAAAGTCATGAAAGTGGAAATGCGGCGAAGTGGGGAAGGGGCAAAGTGTAGATGGGGTGAAGTGGGAATGGGGCGAAGTGGAAATGAGGGGCGATATGGGGATGGGGCGAAGTGGTTGGGCATGTTAGGGATGATGTGGAAATGGGGTGAAGTGACTGTAAACCGGTGTATCGATGTAGGCCCTACCATGGAGGAATATGTGTTTTATTCCTCCATGGCTCTACCATCTGACCATGGAGGTAGAATGTGATTCTACCTCCATGATCTGACCATATGTTCTGTGTCAGTGTGTGCAAATTTCGCATGGCTGGAGAATAAAGCTGCTGGTGCGGTTCCCTTTTTCACAAAAAAATGCCCTGAACAAACACACTAGCATGACCAGCGGGCCAATTCAAGGCACCTGACTAAAAAGAGTTCAGCTTCACGCAGGGCTAGATCATGTCGATGTTCGAGTAGGCTTAAAACAAAAATGTTAGCATTCGAACTATCCGTTAAAAGATGGCATATCATTAAGGAGTATATAATGATAACTTCGGGGTCAAGATTATCATGCCTGAAGAACAAAAACCGTAGCTAGTTTGGAACCTACTTACTTTAAGTCTTTTCTAGACACGAAACGGAGTGCTCGCTTTCCTCGCAATGCGTGAATTACCGAAAGGCAGAGGTCATGCTGTCAGGTCAACACCGGGTTTCACAAAAGCTTTTCACGGGGCTTAAAGGAACACACCGTACCAAACTTTGTTCCATAAATTATAGACTTCCTCTAAGTGCGGCTTTTGTTCAGCCTTCGGTTTGGTGAGCAATGCTCCGCCGCATCGCGCACAGCCCAAGGTTATGAGGTTTGAGTACCAAAGTGAATACGTCACGCGCACAATTATGTGTGCAAAAGGCATTAGCGCGAGAATCAGCGCGTGAACAAAGATACGTGCGTACTCGTTGGCACTGTACTCTCTAGTTAAAAATGACGTCACACTTACGCGCGTGACGTATTACTTTGGCGTACCACAATTTTCTCATACGCGTAATGTAGTGTAGTTGCAGCCCGTGCGCTTCTTTTTGTTTTCTTCCTCGAAAACGAACATCAGCGTACATGTACATTTCACCATGGAGGAAGGAATTAGACTATTTCATTTTAAACTACAAATTCTGATTTAGCCATAAATCCCATTCCCCAGTGTCGTAACGTGCGAGGGAGGGGTTTGAGCAACATGAGCTACCGCGGGGGAATTTAGTCTTCCTCGGTTTTACGTTTCATAAAGCTTTGCTGCAGCTTCCATGCAACAATTTCACCGAAGTTGCTCTATGGTTTCGCAAAGCCTAAGCTTCCAGCAAGAAATAAGACAAAGGGGCACCCCTCCACATGCCCAATCTAAACTCTAAACTATTTTCACCTAACATATCCCCGATTAGACGTCTGAAAAGAATTCCTGAGATTCCAGTGAAACGATGACGTGACCAATTCCTCCATACCAACACCAAGCACCGGGAGGGGGGTCTCTCCGTCTCATATTTTGTTTAATTATGTTCCTTTATACTGCAGCAGTTAGTCGTTAAAGCAGACTTTTTGTGGCCTTTATCTTTATGGTTGCGCTCGATTAAGCTTATCCGCCCAAAGCTGAAGTGCACCCCCAATCGACGAAAAGGAAGACAGGTGGTTACAAACAGATTCTTGCACGCGTTCCGTGAGTACGTGAATACACCAGTGTTACACCAAGGGAAGCCTCGAAATGCAGTGTACTCGCTATGGCATTCTGGGAAAAAGGTCAAGTCCCCGCCACGTTCTAGCATGTACGTCCGTCCATGCACGAACAGTCCATCCATGACGTCATTACATTCGGGCAGCCTCCAGAGACCCGCTCGCCAGCCGGGGTAGTAGTGGCTGACACCAGGGCAGGCACGAGAATCACGTGATGGCTAAACGAACGCTCTCGGTAAGTTTGACTTACACCTGTAAGCTAATCGAACGCACCCATACATATCACATGCTGGAGTAATTTAGCGCTCCGTGTCAAACGCGCATATTTTACAGTACATGTACATGTACTTGCGCGCCTATGCGGTGAGTACCAAAAAAACACGCCCTCTTTTGTTCCGCTCGGAGTGGATAGCGCGAGAATCAGCACGTGAATCAAGACGCGCGTACTCCATTCGTTTGCACCACACTTCCCGGTCCAAATTACGTCAAGCTCCCATGGCGCGGCTCAGTCAGATGAAAAGGTCCTCCGAGAAAAGATTTCAAAACTGGTAGCAACTGTAGTGGGCTAAGCGTAAATACGCAGCAAACAATACATGTATAGTCAGATGTTGCATAGGCCTACACATAACATGGGACTTTTTGTCTTATTCGTGTACCCAGCGGCTGAAATTGTACTGCAGCCTGTGCTACTAGTATAAGTCATTCTGCATGGGTTTCTCGATATCGTACTCATTTTCCTTTCCTGAAAAGTCACAAAACGGACAAAACAGACAGGGGCGGATCCAGAAGTTTCCAAAGGGGGGTGGGGGTGAGCGTGATCCCAGATTTTCCAAAAGGAAGAGGGGGGTTGTGAACTAACGGTAATGGTAAAACGTCCTTACGTCATCGGGGTCCAGAGCCATTTTGGATTCTAGGCGCTCTGTTGTGCAATCTCAGGCAGTATGACACCTCCTTATATCTTCTCCTTCCCTCTTTTTCTTTGGTGAAAAAAGGGGGCGTGCGCCCCATCCCCATGGATCCGCCCCTGATAGCACAGCCCGAAAGGGGGAAAAACATCCAGGAAAGATTACTGGGACCATTATGAAAAGCAGGCTATTGGCGGTCTCCAACCACTTGTCATTCACCTGCCACAATAACACTGGAACATCAACAGTGAACAACGACCCGTCGAATGGATATGTAAGCTCCAAGCAATACATGTAGCATTGAAGCAACGACATGACAATTTATTTTTCCTTATATGTGTAACCCCACCTCCATTCCTTCGAAATATCAGTGGCGATATCGTAAAAACGTGTAAAAACGCTTCTTCACACAATAATTCACGCTACTCAGCAAATGACTCCAATTAATGGGAGTGTTTTTTTTCATTTAAAAATCTTTCCATGAAGAAAAAATACAAGACAAATCAACACATATGGCGTTGAACAATCAAGTCTGAATTTTGTAAGTTCACATCATTGTCAGACCATCATATTATTCGTCGTCACTGATGCTTCATAATGTCATACAGAGTCAAATTTATAACGAAAGGCCGCAAAACTGAAAGTTAATAGATATCACTTCTTTAATACATGAAATTCCATTTGGGAGCATCCGTATTCTCAGAATACGAATTCTACTATGGGTTAATTATATGTGCAGGTATATTTCTCTTTGCTTTTCATAGACTGTTGCATTAGTCTATATCACATACATGTACATGTATCTACTACCGAAAATGTGCCACTTGGGAGACATTCCAATAGGAACGTGCACAAATGTTTTCAAACTTTAGCGTCCCATAATTCAATGTTCCCGAAACCGATCTTAACCAAACTTTGCGTGTTTTCTTTTCAGACCCTAATCTATCATCTCTCAAAATGTGGACGTAAAAATTTCCTCCTTTTGGTAGTTAGAGCATTAGGGAGACACTGAAATGTCTTCCTAATGTTGAAAGATGTACCAAGATTTTCTCCCGAGTGACCTATTTGGAAATATAGTACTTCTTGAACTACAAATAATATAACCTGCAAGTCTTGTCAGTACGGCCGAGTTTATGTCTTAAACTGATCACATCATACAATAAAAATAAAAACATTTCAAAACAGGGTAAGGCTGTGATATATAGGTCTAATAGGAATTTCTGTCAGTATAACAGGTGGTTAAATTCACGAGATAAATTGCTTCCACGCATGGATGAGTTGCTCATATCTTTTAATTAGTGAAAAAAAATCTTGTATGGTTGCGGAAATTAGACTTGAGGACTTCAAGTATCAGAAATAGAAATATATTCTGAAAAATTCCTTGCCCACCATATACAAAAATATGGAATCAAAGACGTGTCTGCACTGGTCTCAATACCTCATAGTCTGGTTGAATAAATAATAAATGTACATATCATTTGATTTGGATAACTTTATATATTTACACAATACAAGAGCACTGAGACTACAAAAAATGTACACGTAACCATTCGAATATCAGAGCGAAGTACAAAAAACCATCCATTTCCAACAGTGCTCCTACAAAACAAAATGAAAGAAGTTTTGAAAAACGCTTGTTTCCCACCGATTTAAAAAAAATGTGGCACATGTGCATGTAGAGTGGTATACACCGAAGGCATGGACAATTTCGGACTGCAAGGTAGGGCTACGCCCCTTCGTCAACTGCCAACTCAACGAGTAGGCCTTTGAAACGGAAAACCACAATGTGCACGTACTGCAAAATGTCACATTGCGTCAATGTGCACGTGCACTCTCCCAAGATCGTCCACTATAAAACAAGGTGACAACGAATCATCACACCAAAACAATGGACATCAATCAGGAATCAAAATGTGACATTGCAATTTTCACATTTGTTTTTCATTGTCATTTTGAAACAGTGCATTTCATGTATATGTACCTATCGCAACTACTGAGCCGTTATATTGACTGTTTTATCATTGTTATCATAATCTTTAACTTGTAATCTTATTGACGACTGGTCACACCTCAAGCCGTACACAAGTCTCACCCGTTATTGATAGGTTTGGAGCTCACAGCCAGCCACAACCCATTGCTTTCATAGCCTGAAATATCGCATATTTCTCGGCCTCAGCTATGATTAAAATTTAATACTCAAATTATCATTGTGTGCTCTTATTGAAAAGAAAAAAGAAGTTTCAACGGTATCTCCAGACAGTAATCAAATATTGTGAGGTTCGATAATTTTATGCAGGTTCACTCTGACCATGCCCTGACATATCGCTATATAAGGTCTACAACGGGAAGTGTGAGACTAAATATACTTGCTAAATGAATAATGTGTGGTGTCTAGCAAGCACTGATATTAAAACCATCATCATGCAACGACGCTCGGTCAATTAGCACAATGGTTCATCGTTATATACATCTCATTATCTACGAGACTGGTACACAATCCGATTATCGCTTGCTGGCTCCAAAAACATTTAGGTAAGAGAAACAGTTACAATAAAGAAGGTGGTAGAATTGCTCCTCGGAATCCGCTACCGCGTCATTCATCTGGCATGCTTATACAGAACCAATAAAAGCGATTCGATTACGGCTTTTAAATGCATGAAATGTATAGCCGGTAGGGGGCCTACACAGGCCTGACATCCGATGGCATGAGACTTGAGCCAAGGGCTGCATTTCTCAACGATGACGGTCCGCTGTAATTGTGGTTGTATGCACAGATCCGTCACATGTGCACGCCAACCCGTGGGATAAATGATCTCTCCTTACATCTGGGTCCAATGTTGGAAAGTGAGTGCAACCATGCAGTACGCTTTGGACTGCACTGCATTTCTGAAGAAACAAGAAGTGCATGAGGAGCTTCCGGAAAGGCTCTTTCTACCACCCAATTGCCGCATTTGGAAAGTCACCCGCCTGCGTTTTATATATGTTTGAGCGATAAAGTGAAACATTCCACGAAGCACAGTTTTTAATGTGAGATAAGCACCAATTAAGCACCTTGAAATGTATAGGCCTTGATGACGGGCTCCAATGATGAAGCACAAAAGGCAAAGACCTTACAGCAAAGGTCAACAACCTGTTTTCTTTGTGCGAGAATTCAACGTCATTACGATAAAATAAAAACTTCAAAAGAACA